GATAGATAGATAGATTTATATTGTGATCATTCCTCAGGAAAAATACATCCCATACTGCGAATGTATCCCCTCTTCCCCAGCCTTTGTCTGAATCAAGCTATTCTCTCTCTTCTTTGTTCTAGGACCCATGGTCACAGTTATAGTCTGAGCTTCTCCTGTCTTTCTAGTTTTTTTAAGTAAACAGGAACACTTTTGCATCCCATTTACAGGTATGGTGTGGCTTTTCCAGCTCTACATCTGTAGCTCCTGGTGAGCTTGGGCGGTGAGGCCTCCTCTCCCAGGGTTCTGAGTAGCTATGCTTAACCTTTTTTTTTTTTTTTAATGTGTTGTTCTTTTTGTGACAGTGTCTCTTGGCTCTGAACTCCTTATCCTCCAAGTTTGGGATTATATGTGTTTGCAGCTTCTCAAGGCTTCCAAGTTCAACTTTGACCACTCTTTGTATAAGAAGTCCCTATGCCACTGGGTATGCCCGAGACCAATCAAATCAGACTTCTGAGTATTGAAGCTCAGGCCTTAATACTTTTTAAAGGACTTCCCAGATCATTCAAAATTGCAGCCAAGGTTGAAAGCCAGTTTTCCAAGAATAGCTGCCTCCCTCTCCAGAAAAACTAATAAAGACAATTTTTTTTCCAACAGTTAAGCTGCACTAGAAGCAGCTGAGTTTTTTAAAAAGCACAATCTATCTGGACCATTCATTCATTCATTCATTTGCCACCCATCAACATATGTTATTGGGCACCTGCTATGTACAGAGCCTGGATGCTGGGTATTCAGGTTCCCTTCCTTCAAGCTGAGAAAATATAAAAATTAGGCTGTGGGGAATCCACTGAACATAATAAAGGAGACCCCATACCTTGTGACCAAGGCTGTAAAGAGTTTATAGACTCAGGGAATGCAGTGGAGAAGGGTTTATAACCAAAGAGGAGCAGAGGCTCCCAATGGAAGTAGTGGCCAACTGGGTAACTGCAAGACCAGTAGGATTGGGCCAAGTAAAGAAGTAGTTTTGGCTTGGGAATGTGCATCCAGGAAAGGAAAAGAAAAGAAAAATCTAAGCATTATGGGATTCCTTTCTGAGGCTCTGTAAGGAGCAGATGAGGCCCACCACCCCAAGGTCCCTAGAAGAGGATCCTAGCTGGGCCATACTGCTAAGGGCCTGTCAGTTATCTTAGGAATTGGAATTCATCCCCAAGGGCCATAGGGACCGGGAAGGGTTTTCATCAGGGGAGCAGCCAAAGAACACCAACCAACTTCAGGTCTAATGGGGTCTGACGCTCTGAAACTGTCAGCTTTGCAGCTTCGAGGTAAAAAGAGTCTCACTACGTGATGATGAGGGCAGAGGTGAGATTGGGTTCTTAACTGTGTTCTCTCACAGACCTGGACAGTATCCCTCTATGGCCCCCAGGAACTGCTGCTTCTACCGGGCTCCTCAATTGCTCTTGTTTATTCCTTGGCCTGAGACTGCTGAGAAGGATGGTGGGTTCCACACAGCGTCCCCTCCAGCTGTTTTCCTTATTAACCCCTCTGGACCCTTAGTTCAGGCAAATCTCCTTGCCCTTGTTCCCTAAGATGAGGTGTTCTAGGGTCTTTATGAGGCCACAAACTTCCAGGTCAGGAAAGTGCTTGGACTTGTTATTAGAACTGGGTCAACCCTTGATTGGCCTTTGGCAAACATTGGTTCTTTCAGTCATATCCAGGAACTGGGGGTTATCTGGTCTTCCTCAACTCCAGAACTTTGCAACTATTCAAAATCGAAGAGAAACAAATCTCTAACTCTCTCTCTCTCTGTCTCTCTCTCTCTTTCACATACACACACACACACACACACACACACACACACACACACATCTGCCCGCTTCAGCATGACTCCCTCCAGTACAGCCATGTGTCATTCCAGCGCACCTTGAACCAGGATTGGTCCCGGGTACAAAACCCCCCTCCCCCACTTTTGCAGGAATTAAGCAAGACTTGCCAACCATCCATGCTGGGCTTCCATTTATATGGAATCTTATTTCAGAGCTCAGCAACTCTGTCCCCTCCTGCTTACTATTAATAATCCCTGTCACATACAAAGCTGTGCAGATACAAAACACCTCTTATATCCCCTAAATCTTATCTAGATCACTCAGAGTCCTAAAAATGGCAGCAAGATCCCCGACGAGCTATCTCTGTAGCCACTTGCCCATGACCTCGTTGCCTGCCATTCTTAACCTTGTTCATTCATTCCTGTCATACCCCAGCCTATACTCGAACATACCCACCCTAGACCCATTCTACTAGCTGTGCTGTCCGTTTGAATGCTCCTCTCCAGATATGGCAGACTTTTCCTCTCTCTTTTCGGAGAAATGAAATGGCAGCCCCTCATCCCTAGCATTCCTTGGTCTCCTCACTCTCACTTATTTCCCTCATAACACTTATGAACAACCAACTTGTTTGTTGCTTCTTTGTTTATGAGGTCTTCCTCTTCCTTCCATCAGAATGTAATTTCTATGAGGTCAGGGTAGAGTTTCTTCTGTGTTGTATCCCGGAAAGCAGAAACAATGTCTGGCCTGTAGCAGGTGTTGGATAAATATTTGTTAAATGAACCCATGCCTAAACAAACCCATTACCTCATCTGGTCCTTACAACAGCCCATTTAACAGATGGAGGATGCTAACGCCCAAGTTCTCATCCATCCCTGTGTAGCGGAGAGGAGCCTCCTGCAGCTCACTTTCCCTTCACAGATGGCACATTCCTCTGCTGCCGAACCATGTCACACCATCAGGATTTCCCCTGACCTTTAGCCTGAGAGGAAATGATATTGCAACTGGAAGAATACCCGAGGGCCAGGAGCTGGCAGCCCCGGCCCCGGCAGCTGCAGGGAGTGTATGAGTGGATTCCGAGTTGGCCAGAAAGGCAGCAGAAGGAGCAGGATGCAGTGGGGGAGCCTCCTGTCATTAGGAGGGGACCTGTCTACAGGAGGCCTGGCAGCTGCAGCTCCTGCAGAGCCACCAGAGGGAAGAAGGCGCCCTGGGGAGTTGGTACAGGGGCCAGTTGCTGTCTCCAATCATGTTGGGGCCACATTGGGTTCTGGGTAAGGGTTCTGACGAGGAGACCATGTCCTGAGCACCCAGTGTCCCCTCAGGAGACCAGCAGCCCTGGACTAGTCACCTTGTTTTCTCTTTTGTAAAATTTGTAAAATAATTTTGTAATATTATTTGCCACATGGATGGAGCTCTGGGGGTTGGGGGGGGGTTGTCATTGTGGATTTGGAGAAATTGTGGTGGTTTTGTGCATGTATGTATGTATGTGTGCGTGCGTGCACGCACACATATATGCACATGTCAGTGCTACTGGGGCTTGAACTCAGAGCCTGAGAGCTGTCCCTGAGCTTTATTTGCTCAAGGCTGGTGCTTTGCTACTTGATCCACAACTCCAATTCTGGCCTTTTGCTGGTTAATTAGAGAAAAGAATCTCACAGACTTTTCTGCCTGGGCTGCCTTCAAACTGCAGCCCTCAGATCTCAGCCTCCTGAGTAGCTAAGATGACAGGGGTGAACCACCAGCACCCAGCAAGCCCTCTTGTCTTACGTTTTAACATCCAGAGTTGCCTTCACAGAGGCTGTCCCCCACCACTATGCTCACAGCGCTTCCATTCCCACCCCCCTCACACGGTGATCTGCATAGCATTTTCTTCTTTAAAATCATTTTGTAAGCACATATGACATGTTCAAGCAGGGTTTCATTGTTATATTTCCATGCATGCATATCGTGCCCTTTAATCACATTCACCCCTTCTAGTTCTTTCTTATCCCCCTCTTTCCCATCTCCCTTTTAACCTTGCAAGACATTTTAAGTGGATTTTATCATGACATTTTCATGCATGCATACAACACACTTTGATCACATTCTGCCCTGTCATTCTGTCCTTTCCCACTTCCTGCCCCCTAGTATCCTCTCCCTTTCACGGCCTTTTTGTTGATTATATCTAGATTGCACCTACGAAAGGAAGCACGTGACATTTGACTTTCTTAGTCGGGAGTATATTACTTACTGTGATAATCTTGTTTCATCATTTTTTCCCCTACAGATGGCATCATTTTGTTCTTAATGACTGAATAGTATTCTATTGTGTTATCTGTACTATACTTTATCTGTCCATCTTCTGATGGACACTAGGCACTAGGCTGGTTCCATGACTGGTCATTGTGCACTGTGCATAGTAATCATGGGTATTCAGCGATCCTCTAGAACATGTTCTGAGCCTGTACTCATCTGTTCACTTGTTTTCTCACTTGCTGTTTCTAACCCATCTCCCCATTAAGAACATACACGTGTTGGGCAGGCACAGCACGAGCAGGGTCTTCTTCACAGCTGGATCCATGATGCTTGCAGCTGTATTGGACACAGCAGAACTAACAAAGGCTTGCTGGTTGGCATTCCCCCGGTGGAGACAAATGTGGACACGTGTAGATGGTGGCCACTGACAGCCCATATGAGCCTGGCTCTTCTCAGAGGGCACACTGTCTGCAGAGTCCAGTTTATGAATGAAACCCAGCAATTTCCTAAAGGAGACTCTCCCCCTAGAGGACACCACGGTGCCTTGCCAGTGCCCAGAGCATCAGGGCAGCAGTTGTCCAGTTCGTCACACATCCAGCTGCAGCAACGCTGTCTCCTACCCTCGGGGGCCCCAGGCCAGCAGCTGCCTCTTTGCATTTAGTCTTGTAGGAATGTTGAGGAAGCTGACTTTGGACTTGTTTGTTGACTTGGAAAGTTCATTCTGAGTACCCTTGACCAATCAAGAATAATATTTTCATTGATTTATGAATGGTGTATGTGATTATTTAAAAAAAAACAACAAACCTTGGCATCTAAACCAGGGCCCAGAACATCATAGGTGTTAGCAAATGGTAGCTAGACAAATTCTGCTGGTCCATAGTGACTCTGCTTGTGGTGGGCTTGCCCCCTTGTTTTTGATGCTGCTGTGAAGCTTTGTCTTCATCCCCTTTTCTCCTCTTCTTCTAGGTGGGCTGGAAGAGCATGCGTCTGAGAACTGGCTAAACACAACAGCTTCAGCTTCGAACACCAGCAGCCAGGCAGCTAGAAAGGGTATGTATATGAAGCCCTCCCAAGTCTCTGAGTGCCTTTTATTTATTTGTTCATCATGGCAAAATACAGACAAGCCAAAAGCTTGCCATTTTAACATTTTTTTTTTTGAGACAACATCTCACTTTGTAGCCCAAGCTGGCCTCAAACTCATAATCTTCCTGCCTCAGCCTTCCAAGTGCTGGGATTATAGGTATGCACCACTATACCCACTTATCTCTTACGAACGTTTTAAAGTATGTCATTTAGTGGCATTAAGTACATTTACAATGCTGTGTGACCATCCGCACTGTCTATTGCCAAAATTTTCTGTCACTCTAAGAGACCCTCCCGTACTCATTGATCAGTTATTCACTGTCCCCTGCTCATAGTCTTTGGCAGCTCTTTTTTTGTTGTAGTTTTGTTTTTGTTTTTTTTTGCCAGTCATAGGGCCTGAACTTGGCCCTGGCCCTGTTCCTCAGCTCTTCAGCTCAAGGCGAGTGCTCTACCACTTGAGCAACAGCGCCACTTCCGGCTTTTTCTGTTTATGTGGTGCTGAGGAATCAAACCCAGGGCCTCATGTATGCAAGGCAAGCTCTCTACCACTGAGCCACCTTCCCAGCCCCCTGGCAGCTCTTTTTTGAGCCTCAGTTTAAGCAACTGAGTCAGTGGGCACAAGAAAAGTGTTTTTCTTTGGTGGAATGGAACAACAGCTTGTTACCAGAAAATAAAAGAAAGTGGAGTTTGGGGGAGGGGTGTCATTTGTTGCTTAGGGATTCAGGTAAACTCTGGTAAAAGCCAACTTTATGAACGTCAGGTCAATTCTGCTTTTCTGGTTTGAGTCATCTCCCAGGAATCTGGCTTGTGAGTTGAAGCTTCTGAAGGTCTGAGAGGAGAGAAGGTAAAGACTGGAGAACAAGGCAGCTTGGTGAAGGAGAGAGACTGGTGGACATGGAGGAAAACACAGCTAGGCAGGAGCTGGGGATTGTGTGAACTAGAGACCCGTGGGCTACCAAGAGAAGAGGGAAGGATGGTGGCTGTTGTTTGCAGGCAAGGGCCACCTGTCATTTGGAGCCTGTCCAGAATGACCCTGGGGCCATAAAGGCTCAGACATAAATGTGTGCAGTCCGCCAATCCTAAGAGCTTCTAGCTTGGCAGTCACTGAAGTGTCTTGTTTTTGGAGAAGCTTTTCCCATTCACAGTGATTTATGGCCACAGGACTTTGTCTCACCTCTGCAGGAATTAAGGGTAGCACATGGCAGTAATGTTCCTTCTATGTAAGGTTAACTGTTGAGCAAAAGAATAATGTGTGTGTGTGTGTGTGTGTGTGTGTGTGTGTGTGTGTGTGTGTGTGTCAGCACTAAGGCATAAACTCAGGGTCTGGATGCTCCCCCTTAGCTTTTTTGCTCAAGGCTAGTACTCTGTTACTTGGACTACACCTCTACTTCTAGTTTTTGCTGGCTTAATTGAAATAAGAATCTCATGAACTTTTCTGCCCAGTCTGACTTCAAATTGTGATTCTCAGATCTCAGCCTCTTGAGTAACTAGGATTACAGATATGACCCACTGGCATCCAGTAAGAATAATGTTTAAATATCAGAATCCTATGGTCACATATGGCTACAGACAAGCAGTAGCTGGTGGTAAAAATGGACTCCAGGCTGTGGGCATGAAGCCAGAGGGGTTGGTTATTTCACTGCAGTGATATGCATACCACATCTTATTCTTCCTCTACTATTTATATTATTTATTGTTGCACAGACCACCCTTGAAATGATGCCTTACTTTAAATGATGCCTTGTTATCTTTTATGATTCTGTGGGCTACCTAACCCGAGTGGTATCTCTTCATCCTGTGGTCACTCATTTGACTGCATTGGCCTCACAACTAGATTGGATGAAGGGTCCCACAGTAGCATGACTCACCCCTGGTGACCAGTATGCCTTCACCTGGCCCTGACCCCTCATTACTGTCTTGCCTGAGACTTGCTCCAGAATGGTGGCTGCTTCCCCAGAAGGAAGAAGCAGAAGATGCTAGTCCTGAACCAAACAACTACTTCTGCCACCGTCAAAACAAGCCAAAGGGCCAGCCCCAAGCTCAAAGAAAAGGAAGTAGATGCTACGGTAGGAAGACTCGGCATGAATTCGCAGACAAGTGGCCATATCTGGAGATTAGTATTTCATCTTACTTCCTCACCATCAATTGCTGTTATCAGAGTTTAAGTATATATATCACGCCTGAGGCTATCAAGTAACCCAACCAACTAAACTGAGAGAGTCACACACATTTGGGATTGAGCCCTGGCCCAACCATTTGATAGCTGTCACTGGATGAGTTATCCAATTTCCCATAAGAGGCTTGGAAGAATTAGAAATAATATTTACATGAAGCCATGCCAAGATTGTAAAGGTGCTCAGTGAATATAGCTCTTCCCCTTCTTTCTCTCCACCTCCACTTCCAAGACTGACACTCCACAACACTGAGAGCACATCATCCACCTCTGGACTGGGATTCCACAGCTGTTCAACAGCTGCACAGAAACACAATCACAAAAGAAGGACCGGAAGGAATGAGGCTGCAGTCCATTAAAATTCGGCCTCTAGCTGGGTTGCGTACAGGACGCGCATTGGCAGCAAAAGGCCTTAAACTTTTTAAGGTAGATGATAATGACGCTCTCCCCATACCCACACACCTCTGAGGCTGGCAAGATTCATAGTGTGCAGTCCCCCAGCTGGGCCTGTTGGTTTGAAGGGGATAATAATGTCAAGTCTAGGCCAATGCGTCCACTCTGTATTATTTAGCAGCACACCAGCAGCTGTTTGAGCATCCAAGGCAAGCCAGAGGAGGAAGAAGACCCCAGCGGTGCAGCAAGGACAGACTTGTGATGCTCTTTCCTCCATCCTTCCTGTCTTTTCCATGCTATACCTTTGGGACACTCTTGGACACCAGCTTGGGGTGCCTCTTGTTTTGGTTAAAATTAAAGATAATGTGTGTGGGTCTCAGATTCCTCTTTAATTGCAACCTGCCCTTCTTCCGCCACCCCAGAACAAGAGACCGCCCAAGCAGGAGAAAGGAGGGGGAGCTCAAGGCCTGCTCATTTCAGCAGAGATTTATTTCCTGGCATTATGTGGCTCCCTTCAGCCCTGACGGTGGGATTTGTGTTTGCAGCCTTGGGGAGGGGTGAATTTTGGAACTGCTCCCTCAGTAACCCCAGCATGGCCTTTGGTGAGAGGACTCCCTTCCCTGGAGCCGGGCTCTCAGAACACATTTGGGGTTGTAATGGGGTTAATGAAATGGGGTGTGTAACTGCTCCATGGACGAAGCTGTGACTGGAGCGAGACTGAATTCCAGAAGCATATTCATAAAAGAGAATGGGCTTTCCACTTTTAGATACAGGCCCTAAGGCTTTGGGTGCAAAAGCAAAGAATAATGGAATCTGACAACTAACCTGTCACCCTCCAGTGTTACTGGTGGCAGTTATTTGGGTATAACCACTCACTTGAGCCCCTTGTTTTAATCTGTCTTGAGAGCAGACCTTCATGGTGCTAACTGCTGCTCTCCAGCAGCCTTACCCTGAGCCTTCCTTACCCTGAGCATTTGCTTTCATTGCCAGATATAGTGTTCCTCTCACAGCCATGCAGCAGGAAGTCAGGCTCCGAGGCCCAAGTGGTTTGTCCAAAGCTACACAGGTAGAAAGTGGTGGCATTTATCTTAAGCTTAAATTCCCCTGTCCCTAACCCCTTCGTTTTAACCTTTCATCTGTATCACTTGCTCCTCAACATCACCAAGTTTTGTCACTGACGGTAAGCTTTAAAAACTGCAGCTGCCAAACTCTACTCTATGCAGTTGGGTCATAATCTCTGGACAAGGGGAAGAAACCGGGACTGTTTTTTCCCCCCAGTCCTGGGGCTCAAACTCTGGGCTGGGGTGCAGTCCCTGAGCTCCTTTGTGTTCAAGGTTAGCACTCTACCACTTGAGCCATAGCACAACTTTGAGCTTTTTCTGTGATTAATTGGAGATGAGTCTTACAGACTTTCCTACCTGGGCTGGATTCTAACTGTGATCCTCAGATCTCAGCCTTTTGAGTAGCTAGGATTACAGGCATGAGCCACTAGTAACCAGGACTTTTTTTTTAAAGCTCCTCAATTTGCTGCTTTTTTTTTTAGTACTATTATTGGGGCTTGAACTTGAGCCTAGGTGCAATTCCTTAACTTTTGCTCAAGGCTGGCCTTTTATTACTTGAGCCGCAGCTTCACTAATGGCTTTTTGGGTGGCTACTTGGAGATAAGAATCTCATGGACTTTCTTGCCCAGGATGGCTTTGAACCGAGATCCTAGATCTCAGCTTCCTAAGTAGCTAGGATTAGAAGCATGAGCCAGTGGCTCCCAGTTCCCACTTTAATTTTAATGTGCAGCCAGATTTAAAAGCCATTGTGGAGAATAATCTATAGTTCTTCCTTTCACCAAGGCGCTGTTCTTTAGTCCTTCAGGATCGTGGCAGGCAAGGTGCACATTTTCCAATCACTCAGGGGTGAGGATTTTACAGATGGCTGCACAGTCACAGTATTTCCTTCCGGTGCGGGAATGAACAGTTGCCTAATCTAAAAATTGCAGTTCCTCGCTTGAGAGGGCTGGGTCAGGCCTGGTTCTGTTTATGACACGTCTGTGCCTTCAGCTGGAAATGGAACGTTGAATAGCAATGGCTGCTCTGCTCCTTCATGGAAGACAGGGTCCATCCTCAGAGCCAGGGAATTTAAATGTGTTCTATCCCCCCACTCTACCCCTAGCGTGGTAAATCCTTTCAGACGCCCCTGAGCTCCTCTTCAAATGCAAGACTCTTGGCCATAATAAATAATTACATCCTTCTATTTGGACTCCAATTCCAGATAGTAGTAATCCAAGAAAATCCAATAATGACAGTTGCATTAAGATCCTTCTTCCAGGCTAAGCAGAACATCTGTTTAGACATATTTTTAATAGGCAAATGCTTCCTGTGTTGAGTCCTCAGCAAATTAAATTTCTCAC